CCGGCCTTCCTGACTCTGTCTTGAAACCGGGTCCAGGTGAGGAGTGGAGAAGAGGGGGTGCGGTAGATTCTGCGCAAGTCTACTATCACTATGCACTAATTCAAGTGCAAGTCGCCATTCCCGCTGCACCTTATTGTGTAGCGCGCGGTGGATCTCGTCGGAATCGACGGTCGAACTGTCGGTTATCGTCGTTGCTCTCGGTGACTACGAGCCCTTTCACCTTGGACAAAAACTTTTGACTGTAACCTTGATTAGGCAACTGACTTCTCCATGACTGCGACATTTGTCGCCAAAATGCAACCTGCCCTTACACTTGGAGTAATGACATTCCAAGTTATAGGCTCGAATTTAAATACCACAAATTTCAAATGTAAAAAAACAGTTTCAACTTATATTTCCTTTTTCCTACCGACTGGTTTGCATAGTTCACTTTATACGTCCTATCGATAGGAGAAAATAAACCGTTGCACAGAAGCTACACGCTGAATTTCTATGGTCTTTAAATGTACTTTCCATGCAATCGCGAGAGCCGGCAGATGACAAAACTCTGAGCCTCTGAGAAAACAGGCAAATAATCCTGGTGCTGCGACTCTAAAAGGTAGTCTCTTAGTCTTGCTGGCTCGTGAAAGCTGTAAGCACGTTCCGGCTCTCTTAACGCCAGCGCTGTCAGGTTGCGTTGAATAACGTCCGTCATAAGGCCATTATCTCAGGCTTCCGCCATCACGTGACGCAAAGGCGTTCACGTATTAACACGCGTGCGCTTGCTCATCTCTCGCAGCCGCCTTTCCCCAACCAGTCATAGACGTCTACGAGAGACTAGCCAACCACAATCGAAGTGGGCGTTGCTTTTGACTCGCCAAGACAGCGACACTATCTGTCCTGTCTACCGGATGCGCTTTAATGAATTAACATTCCACGGTCATGCACAGAATGAAGCTTGCCTGCTAGATTCTCCCATCTTCAAATCTTAAAAAGAATGTGACTTGGGGTTGTACTAGCTAGGGTGGTCACATGGCATCAGCGTGTGCGAGAGGGTCAGGGCTTGTCTGAGGCGACGTCACTGGTTGGTTGAATGTTTTCTGCAGTAGTCACCGCATTTAAAGTGCATTTATTGTTGCCCGGCTGTACTTAATATGTGATAGATTGCGTGAATACTGCAGTTTCGACCAACAAATAATTGCTAGAAGGTCAAACTTCACTGCTGATGAAGTAATGTAAGCTCATAATTTCAGACTTTTCGAGAGGACTTCCTGTCAGCCTGAGGGGTAACTCCACCGCAACACTGTTTGAACGCCGTCTCCTGCAGCGGGTGTGAAATCCGGTCATCCGACTGGCCCAGAGTCGCCAAGAGGTTAAAAGCGGATTTTTGACTCGGAGTGAATAAATGAGTAGCCGGCGGGGTCAGTTTCT